TGATTGGACTTTGTTGTCCACACTAGTGTGATGAGTTGCCTTAGATATGTTGTATGCCTCAGAAGCCTTACTGAGTAATATTTCGCACTAAGTTGTTTGCGTTTGATGAATGTTAGTGCGAGTAATTTTTGTTTGAAAAAAATTTAGATAGCTAATGTCATGATATTTATTTACGTTTTAATTAATTAATAATTATAATTATACATAATTATAAAATTATATATAATAATAACTAATTAATTTAGCCACGCTCATCTTAATGAGTGAGTAGAGTAAGTTTTTTTCACTAGGGTGAGAGTTTTAAAGTTTGCTATGACAAAAATAAATTTTTAAAAACAATTTATACACCTTTAGATAAAGCAGAAAATACCCTTTAATATGTTGCCTCAATTTTTTTGTTTTAGCTTTCAATAAATACAAAAGAAACAAAACTGTTAAACCTTTCACTTTTTTTTTTCGTTTACTTTTACTTCCAGTTTACCTGATACAAAATATGCGCTACAAACCTGTTTTTTAATATTTGTTTTGCTACCACAACTTTTTTACTATTTGTTTTACTATCACAATTCTTTCGATTAATAGCTTTGATCCAGCATTTATGTCTTTTTTTTTAAGAGATAATTTTTTAAAAAGATTTTTGTAGAACATCAATTCACATTCGCTTTTACATCTTTTTGAGCAACCAACTGCACACCAACTGGTTGACACAATTTAATTAAATTTGAAAAATAAATAGCGAATAAATTTCCAAACAGAACGTACGTATATCTCAAAGCTTTTTGCTGCAAAATTATAAACTATATGTTCTTTCTACCTACAAGTATGCGCGCGCATTTTTTTAAAAAACAAGAATGTATACATTTGCAAGTCATCTATTGTTGCATTTCATAAGGCTTTACATAGACAGTAAAGTTTGAAAATAAAGTAAACAGCCGAATATATCAATATTGGTAAATGATTTTATAACCTAAAAAAGCAGATAATTTTTCCTAGTCTGGCATTCCCTCCTCTTTAAATTTTAGTAAAATTTGTAATTTATACGTAGAAAAGTGTTTTCTCAATAGTTCAAGTAGTTGAAAGTATTTATAGATATAATTATGAATATTTAAAAATCTAAAAATATTTTAAACAAATAACACAGCGTTTGTTTATAACTAATGAAAAAACTTACTCGAGCTCAAAATAATATTTAATTTTATCATAATATAAAGTCTACTCGTGCTTAAAATGCATTAAAACTTTGTTTATCAGGCAACTTACGCTGAAAGAGTGTTTATAATTTAGCGTATTTGTAACAGTTTTGAATTTTATATTTTTAAAGTAACTAAATTTAAACAAATTTTTATTAGAGCAAGGAGTATCAAAATATGCCGTTTTGTAAAATGGGATAGTTAATTCATCTTTTCTTTACTTTTTCGAAACTTTGTTTATTATGAAACCATTCCTAAACGGACAATTTAAAAAAAAAATAAGCTCGTTTTTTCAGCTTCTTATAATGGATCAGTTATCAAATTTAATCAGTTTTTAAGATTTTAAAGTTCTCAATTCAGAGTTTGTTTTATGACAAAAGTTTATAGGCTTGATTGAGTCACAGCGAAGCGGATTAATTAGGTTTACTTTTTGATCTATTTTTGAATGCAAAAATAATATTTAGACTTATGTTTCTTAAACGTTGTTTACAATTTATAAATGCGTTTCAAAACTCCATCTTACTTACAGACAAAATGACTAAAAAGAGACGTAATGTCTCTGTTCTACCATCTGTAAAAATTAGGTATTGGAAAAAGTAAAAAACGTTATAAAAACGTCATCTGGTTTTTCATCTGGTGACAAACTTTACTTTGATGATTGCTTTTATTTTGCTATGACTGAAAAGAGACTCAAAAATGTCTCTTTTTATATGTGTGCTAAATGTGTGCTTGTGTATAAAGTGTTATCAAATCTTAAAAATCAAGGGTCCCTCTTTGAAGGATCCCTTTTATAATCCACAAGTAAAAATTTTAAAAACATTAAAAAAAAAGAATGTCAAACCAAAACATCTTTAAAAAAATTTTTTAACATTTTTTTATTTTTTTTTTTTCAAAAAGCTTTATTCCAGTGGAGACGGTACCTAAAAAAGACGTCTTTTGAACATCGAAAACTTTCAAAAGACGTTTGAAAGACCTCTTTCTTACGTCCCGTGCCCACTGGGATTTTGCCGTTTACTTATTTCCCTTTCTAAAACGTGTTTTAAAACAAATGGTTTTAATGAATTTTTGCATAATTCTTTAAAAATATTTATTCAACAGCGTTTATAGGGATCCAAATTAGCTTAATTTAAAAAAAAAAACTTTAATTTAATGAGCTTTCAAACAGTTGATAAACGGTAAAAATCTTCACAGCTATTGGCGTCTGTTCCTAAAAATTTTGCCAGCAAAATTTTCTGAATTCGACCTCAAAAGACTTTCGCCTCCAAAATGTTTGGTAGTAGCCTAAGTTCTTTAGAAGCAAAATGTTTTTT